TTTTTGCTTTTGAGTTCACTGAGCTAAATAATGTTGCTTTTTTAAAAAACATGACCACCTTTAAAACCTGATTTCAAGAACATTCTCAAAACACAGGAATGACTATAAAAAGGAATAAGGATTCAGAGTTGGGAGATATTTAACTCAGGTTTAAAGGACAGAGACAAAGTAGCATCCCACCTGCTCCATGGTTTTTAGATGTAGCCTGGACTTCATGCAAATTCTCAAGTTCTCATTTAATCCTACAATTATGTTATATTAAAATACCATTCAAATGTGCCAGAACCAAATGCAATTTCCTAAACCCCAAAACAAAGGGGTGTAGGTGTGTGTATGTGTGTGTGTTTTAATCAACTCAACACTAGATGGCTCTAGTTACAAAACCAATACATTTTCAAAAATCTAAAACCCTGGGAAATGACATTATGAGAACAGATGGATTCTAACCCACTGAATCAAATTCTGCTATCTTCCAAAGTCTTGCAAGCATTAAGAATAGCATTGAGCATTTAGGTTTGAAATGTTATAAATATTCAAAAGAGCAGGCATAAATCCTAGAAGTTCTTATTTCAGATCGAAACAAGAAGTCGCACTGATATAGCCTCAAAGGATGTAGCTTTAATCTGCTCTGTAATTATACACTCTGTCCTCACATGGTACTCTATTATTTTCAAGTCATTTTTACATATACCAATTCATTTGACCTGCCCAATAATCAGTGAGGTACATGAGGGAAGCAGGTATTTTCCTCATGTAAGGACAGGACACAGAGACTCAGACAAGGAGCAGAAACTTGCTCAAGGTTAAGTATTTCATAAGCAATAGCATTGGGGCTGGAATCCCAAGGTCCTGAACTGCTGGATCAGAGTCTTTTATACACAATAGGCAGGAAAACAGAATTAGACTTTTGCCTGACACACTGTGTCTGACCCAGCCCTTCCATTCTTTGGAATACTCCCTTCCAGTGAATTAAACAACCCTGCCCACCTACCAAACACCCAAAAACTATTAATAAAAGTTGAATCCCTAGGAAATTGAAACCATTGAAGAGATATTTTATTGAAATAGGAGGAGAATGGTGGCAGGGAGGAAGCTTCTTATATTTGGTAATTTTTGGCCTTGAATTATATTTTAGTCAGCAAAAATCAATGATTTTTACCTAAATATAGTTTGATGGTAAAAGAAAGATTAGTCAAAATCCACAAGCGAAATAATTCACATGTGAATGAGCAATGATCACTACCATTTCATGGGCACTTACTGTGGACCTGGTATAACCCACTTTGTAAGTCTCTTCCTTTTTGAGTATTCCCATCTCAGCAAATAGCACCACCATCCAGCCA